TCGTCGTCTTCTGGTGGAACGGACCTTCGAATCTATTCACCGCACACTTTCACTCGAAATGGAAGTATGCTCAACAATTAGGAAGCAAGAGATTCATCGAAACCCAACTTTTCTTCGCTTAGACAATGCTTTCCTGCGCTGAAGATGTCTGTCACAGCCTTTAATTATCGGCGTCGCGTTTCGCCGCAAACGTATTCGCACGAATATGCACTCACCACCTCAATGAAATCATCATTAAGCTTCCATTGAGTCCAATCTACCAACCTTTTTCACTCCGTTCGTCCAACTAAGTGAAATACACCGTCCTTATAGACTTGATTCCATTCCCTTTTCGCAACTTGGTCGCTGTTTAATGCAAGTTTGGTTAAATACAAGTCTGTATTGTGTTCTCTGTTGTTATTCTCCTACATGTTTTCACCAAACTGAGTCATACTTCATCAAAGTGACTAATTGGCGACGGAAGGATTAGTGCACAGGATGCATTCTTGGGAATTTGGTAGATCTTAACTAAGAGCTGTATTCACCCTAGTTCAGGTAATGTGATGAATCGTCCCACAACGGCCTTAAATTTCGCGTTGTCCCGCTTCCTAAAGGGTATTCTCATTCAGAGTGAACAGCCATTTTGACCTAGCCCGGGTCTCAGCAGCATTCCAAGAGGTATTTGAACCCTCACTCTTTAGAAGCTAACCTTAGACGATTCTTTCCAAAGAAAATGAGGCTGAGACAATATTAAGGCCCGCACCATTTCATACCTCCTCTCAACTGACCGCTTGCCAGTTGACTGGACATGTGCTACATGCGCCAGAACAGACGCCAGACAAACATGTTCGTGAAGTCCCCATCGGCCAGTCGAAACTGATGTGCCTCCACAATGACGACATCAACAACGAACTCGAGCTTGTCAGTTAAGCTGTGGACGGAAGTGTGCTGGCAAAACGCAGGAAATATGAAGACATCAAGTGAGCCAGATGAGAGGGTACAGCTTCGAGATCGGGCCACGTGGCCCGCTTTATCGAAGTCTGAAGGGTCGTCGAAGCAAACCGGTCCCGAATGGAGTGACACCCCCCTCAGGGGCATAATCACCAGATTCATGGTGCCGTCGGCTGGGCGAAAGCCGGTCCCGAGCTACTGAACATGCGTTTGTGGTCACTGCAAGCGCCTCGGGACTAGGCCGGCCGAGAAGGGTTGTCTGGCCGGTGTGGACCAATACCGCCGGGAGGTGTAATTATAAAAGAAGCAGATTGTCGAAGGTTGGGGAGACCGGAAGATCAAAGTTCTCTCAGTTCGGCTTTCCAACAGGGCAAGTTCACACGCGCTTGTAAAGCGCAAATATGTGCTTGAGAGCCCATTTCTGTACGAAGACAGACCGCAGGTATGGCCGCGGGTTGTTAGTGTTTGTCTGTGTGTGTGTGTGTGACAGAAAGAGTAATTAGACCGTGTCTCGACAGAGTGAAATTGAGGCTGGTTACAAGTTGGATCGGTACGTGTCGGAAGCTGGCTACAGGTTTCATGAGACAACGGCGCCAGAATGCGTGTCTTTGGGTTAGTTTACAAAAAGGGTTCGGTGATACAGTTTCGCACTGGGCATGAATCTAAGCTTTGCGTCGTCTCGTCTCAAATCGGGGATGGACGAGATCTCTAAAATACCTCCTCCTTTACCACAACCACAAGCACAACCACCCCTGCTCCACTTCCTCTGATCACTTTGATTCGAGCCTATACTCCAATTTCTCTTCCCTCTATCTTGCTGTCTTTGTCTCTGTCTCTTTATATATATTAATACATACACATATCCTTTTACCCACTCATATTGTTCCCGTCCTTGTCCTGACCTATCCCATTCGCCTGATACTGTTGCTGTTGTTCTCTCTCTCTCCCCTATTCCTTCATCCTCTTTCACATCTTCCAGTTTATACTCCTGCTCCTATTGCAAATCCTACACACTCTCTCTTCCCTGTTCCCACTCACGCATCCCACCCTGGATCTGAATCTTGTTTCCTCTCCTCCTTCTCATTCTAGCAACGCTCCTATCTCCTTTCCCAATTCTCTCTTTCACTCCTCCTCCACTCCCTCCACTTACTCGCTTCTTCCCAGCCTATGCGCCTGATACTGCTGCTCACACTCCTGCACCTGTTCTCTCTATCCCACTCTCTCTTTGTTTCTTTCTCTCTTTCTCACCCAACTTTACATTTTTCGCTCTTGCACCTGCTGCTACACTCACACCTTTTGCCCCTCCAATTGTCACTCCCTCATTTAATCCTGACTCTGGAACATCAACTCACGCCTTTGCCACTGCTTCGCTTCTCACACCGACTTTCTATTCTCCTCTTTCTCCGGCTCTTGCTAATGCTTTTTTTCGAGCATAAACATCTCATTTCATACATCTACTGGTAGTCTCGACAACCTACTTATGGTCAAAAAATAAGTTATGTATAAAGAAAAACTGGGTTTCGAAGACTCCCTTAGTGTTACATTGTTGTTGTAACATTCCATTTCGGAGGAAGAGCTGGCTGGAAGGAATGCATGATGTGGTCTGACCGGAAACCAACGAATTGCCGCGTAGAGAAGACTGTTGTATTGTCCGAAGAATTCCTAGGTTCACAGGTTCATCGGGTTCGCATGATTGTGAGCCAATGACTTCTTCGTACGTTTGGGAATGTACCCAGCCAATGGTCCAATGCTGGAAGTCACGAAAACTATGACAGAGAATAAGGGATTGGGTACATTCCACGAGGTGTCCCTGACGCTCCGACCAAGTTGCGAGAACAAGGTCGTACCAACACTATAAAGCTAAATGAGACTGTGACCAAACAGGTCACAAAATCTTAGTCTTAAATTTACGAGATGTATTCACCCAATTGCGTTTAAGGTGATGAAGGACTGGTAGAATAAGAATTTTCCCACAATGATATGAGTTGAGCTGACGCTTACATTGAATTTCACATAGCCTTGCTTACATACATCTTATATTACTGATTTACTGGTAGCCACGAAAACAATACTTAATTCGAAAAATAAAAGTACAGTAGTCGATTGTTATAGCAGATATACGTTTGCTTCATCGACAATCCCACCAAAAGAATATGATATTGCAAAAAGGCCAGGCCTTCCTTAAAAATTCACACTTGCCCTGTGACCCAAAAGGCGCTCGTGGCAGTGTAGCCGAGTGGTTGGTGTGTCAAGCTCCCATCCTGTACTGTCGCGGTTCGACTCCCGCTGAGGGTGTTGATAAGA